GATTTTACTACAAGGGCAATGCTGGGTGAGAAAATCTACAGCCTTGCTGCAGGCAGGCAGACTTGATTTGGGGCAGAGAGTAAGAACTCTCACTAGGAGGGCATACTTCGTTCTCAATTGCTCCAACTCTTTGAGACCCCAAAGACTGTAGCCCACTAGGCTCCTCTGTCCAAGGGATTTCTCAGGCAAGAATACTGGAGTGGGCTGCCGTTTCCTTCTCCAGGGGATCTTCCCAATCCGGGAATGGAAATGGTGCCTCCTGAATTGCAGGTGGATTCTTTACCTGTGAGCTTCCTGGTGGCTCAGATGATAAAGAATCTGCCTCAAATGTAGGAGCCCTGGGCTCGATTCCTGGGCTGGGGAGGTCCCCTGAAGAAGGGTATGGCTACCCACTCCAGTGTTCTTGCTGGAGAATTCAGTAGACAGAGGAGTCTGGCAGGCTACAGTTCTTAGGATCACAAAGGGTTGGACATGACTGAAGGACTAACACTTTCACTTTCCCATTCACAGGCTGCTGAGCCATTGGCGATGCCTCCTCACTAGTAGTATTATCAGCTAAAGTAGTGAAACTATAAGAAAAAGAAAAAAGACAGACAGAATGGAGAAAACTTACAGATCTGCTAGTCTGCAGTTGTAGTTTCATTTAGGGCAAGTGGCAGGCCAGCCAAAGAGTTTATCAGAAGATCCTAGAAATGAGAAAGCTTTAAGAGGGCTAAATAAATGCTGCACACATCTTTGACTAACTAGGGAGCTCCAGGGGAGCAGGGGAGACTTGAGAGAGCTTGATGTAAATTGAAAGGCAAGGCAGACCTGAAAACTGGCTTAACTTTCAATGTACTCTCCAATCCACAAACAGATTTATTAGCAGAGATAGAACATTTACAGACTCAAGATAGGTGAGCACAACTTCTGCCTAAATCTTTGGTTGATCACTAAGCAGACACTGAGGTGACCCCAAGGAAGTCAGGCCAAAAAAAAGACATCAATGGCCACATTCCACAAGGAGACAGACTACCATTTACAGGAAAAGTACAAAAATAACAGAAAGAAAAGAAAATCTCATGGGTAATAATCAGAAACCTCAGGGGGAAAATCAATGTATTACCTAAGATATCAGATCTCAACAAAAACTATGAAACAAAGTGACAGAAAAGTGTGATCATGGCCAGGAATAAAAGCAGTCAATACAAATTAATTCTGACTGTGCTCAGATATTAAAAATACCAGACAAAAAAAAAAAAAAAAAAACAGAACTCAACAGATTCATAGACCAAAAGTAAAGGAAACAAAGGAAGTAGTGGAAACCCAAACACAAATCACGAGACGACAGGTCTAACAGAATAAACGGGACACTACGAATTACATTACATGAAACAAATGCCACTACAGGGAAGACTGATGGGTAAAAGCAACCTAGAGCCAACTCGGTATTTGTTGTAAATATTAGAGCAGTTACGTTCATAGCCAAACAGCACTGCGCCTTGGTATGAATCATTCCCTCTGGTACAGCCTGAGGTGGAAATGAGGCAGAGGGTGAACGAGGGCGATGACTGCCAGCCCTGGGAGGAGGAAACAAGGCCTCCACTCACAGTGACTGCCAGCAGGACTATGACTCAACACAAGCTGGGCCAGTCCAGAGAGCCACACGCTCCCTTCAGAAGGCTGGGCAGAAAAATTCTAGGATTACCAACAGAATACACCCAAGGTTTCAACTAACTAAAATCACCTCAACTGGCCTAAACTGACTCCTGTGGGAGGCCTGGCCACCAGTCTCAGGGGCAACCTGGCTCTTAAAGAGGAACTTAGAAACTACTGAAAAAGAAAGATGAAACATGAAGAATAAAGTGTTACTCGTAGCTTGCAGTTATTGAGTACTTTCAACCTGACAGTGTCTCTGCTAAGCACTTTATAAGCATTACATAATTTAATCTTCATAACCCAATGAAGACTGTAATTATCCACTTTTTTTTTGGCTGCACTGCAAGGCATGTGGGATCTTAGTTCCCTGACCAGAAACTGAACTCACATCCCCAGCAGCGGAATTGAGCCTTAACCACTGGACCGCCAGGAAGGTCCCATATCCACACTTTAAAAATCAGAGAATTCCAGCAATGTACTTCACTGGCCTAAACTGAGAAAAGTTGTCTGTACTAAAGTAAACGCTGCACCATGCCTGTGCGCTCTGTCGTGTCCGACTCTTTGTGATCCTATGGGCTATAACCCACCAGGCTCCTCTGTCCAGGGGGTTCTCCAGGCAAGAATACTGGAGCAGGTTACCATTTCCTCCTCCAGGGAATCTTCCCAACCCAGGGATCCAACCTGCATCTCTCTGTGTCTCCTGCATTGGCAGGCGGGTTCTTTACCACTAGTGCCACCCGGGAACCTAAGTGCTGCACTAGTGCCCATCACTGTACACACCTCTCGCCAGGCCAGGCAGAGAAGGAACAGCTAAAGAACTTCACAAGTTACAAAATGACTCGTTAGAACTGAATCATAAGTATAAAATCAGAACTGTCATTACAAAGATGCCTTATCACTCTTCTGCAACATTCTCCTCATAAAGAGGAGACCTCCCCCTAGACTGTGGGGTCTCTCCAAAGTTATCACTAAAATAACAAAAAAGGTGACCTTAGCCAAACATCTTAACATAATGCTGTACATCAATTGTATTTCAAAAATAAAGTAAATGACAGAAATAGACATGAGATTTGAGAACCAGAGGCAGGGCTTGGGAATGGTTCACGGGGAGGGGAGTGAGACTGGGGGGAGAGGGAGTTAGATGAAGGGAGATAAAACATATAAACTTCCAGTTATAAAACAAATATAAAATATGTGCTCCAACACTGCTAAATCACTGATAACAAACATACAACACTCACTGGCACTTACTGAAATGTGTCAACTTTTGTTGTTTCGACTTTATACTAAACTAGTAACACTAAAGTTCCAAAGAGGTAACAGGCAATTTTGGTGAGGTATGAATTTGAATTCAATGTCCAGTCAGGCTGAAATGCAGGAGGGAAGTAGTCAGCTACAGTAACAAACACCAGCATAAGTAAGGCAACACAGTTGTTTTTAATTGTATACAAAATAACTCTTGAGTGATTTTAAACAAAAAAAAAGTTTCTTCTCTAAAGGAAACCTNCTGGTTGGATCTCCTTGCAGTCCAAGGGACTCTCAAGAGTCTTCTCCAACACCACAGTTCAAAAGCATCAATTCTTTGGCGCTCAGCTTTCTTTATAGTCCAACTCTCACATCCATGCATGACTGGAAAAACCATAGCTTTGACTACATGGACCTTTATTGGCAAAGCAATGTCTCTGTTTTTTAACATGCTGTTTCTAGGTTGGTTGTAACTTTTCTTCCAAGAAGCAAGTGTCTTTTAACTTCATGGCTGCCGTCACCATCTGTTTTCCCTCTGTCCAAATTTCCCCTTCTTATAAGGACACCAATCATATTACATTAGGGTCCACCCTAATAATCTCCAGTATTCTTGTCTAGAGAATTCCATGGACTGAGGAGTCTGGTGGGCTACAGTCCAGGGGGTCACAAAGAGTCAGACAAGACTGAGGAACTAATACTTACACCTTCTTTCTAATAATCTCACTGATTACCTCTGTGAAGATCCCATCTCCAAATCAGGTCATAATCTGAAGTATCAGTGATTGGTACTTCAGCACATGAATTTGAGGAAGGGACACACTCAACCTATAGTAATGAATGAAGAACAAATACTTCACGACTCATTCTATGAGTCCAGTATTATCATCAAGATATCAAACACAAAGATATTAGAAGCAGAGAAAACTAAAGACCAAAATCCCTCATGAAAATTGATTAGGAAACTAAATACATAAATACATATATTTTAATTACACACATGACCAAGTGCGAATTACCTCAGGAGAATAAGGTTGGTTTAACCTCTAAAAATCAATTAATATTATATATCAGATTAGTAGAATGAAGGACAAAAAAAAAAAAAAATCACATGATCATCTCAGCAGCTATCTGAAAAACATTTGGCAAAATTCAACATCCATTCATGATTAAAATACAAGCAAACAAAAGAAATTTCCACAAAGTAGACAGAATCCAGAACTTCTTAAACCTGATAAAGAGCTTCTAAAAAATCCTACTACTGTGTTATACTTAATGGTGAAAGACTGAAGTCTTCCCCCTAAGATCAAGAACAAGATAAGGATGTCTGTTCTTACCACTTCTATTTAAAAAGCTACTGAAGCCTTTACCCAGGAATAAGCTTGAGCAAGAAATAAAAGGCAACCAGACCGGAAAGGAAAAAGTAAAACTGTCCTTCTTCATAAAATATGTTATATCAAAATTTTGATAGAATGTACAATAAACCTACTAAAAGTAGTAAGTTTACCAAAGTTGAAGAATACGATCAACAATCCAAAAATGAAAATAAGAAAAAATTCCAGTTGTAATAGTCATAGAAAGAATAAAACACTTAGCAAAATAGTAACAAAATAAGGGTAACACCCATACACTGAGAACTTCAAAACAATGCTTTTGAAAGATTTCAATAAATGGAGACACATATCATATTCACAGGTTGAAAACTCAGTATTTTTAAGATGGCAGTTTTGCTCAAATTGATTTGTATGTTCAGATGCAATCCTTATCCAAATAGACCAGGGCTGTTTTTATAGAAACTAGTAAGTTGGTCCTAAACTGTATATGAAAATATAAGGATCTAGACATGCTAATAGAGGTTTGAATAAGAAAAGCAAAATTAAAAGATTCATATTACCTCATATCAAAACTTATTATGAAATGTACTAATCAAAAGTATTGGTATAAAGATAGACATATTAATCAACAAAACAGAATAAAGAGTACAGAAATACCGCCCTACAATTTAGTTTCAAAAAAGAAAGATGCCAAGAGAATTTGCTGTATAAGAGAGTTTTTCTCAACAAACAGTGCTAAATAATGCATAGGCATGTGCAATTATAAATAATAAATTTAGTCCTTACCTCACAGGGGACACAGGAATTAATAGACAGATCAAAGGCTTCAGTGTAGAGGTCAAACCGTAAAATGTCTAAAAGAAATCACAGGATAAAATTTTTGTGATCTTGGGTTATGCATAAAACTCTTAGAATTGAAACCAAAACATGATTCATAAAAAAAAATACTGACAAATTGCACTTCAACAAAATGTAGAGCTTTCACTCTTCAAAAGGTATCAACAAGAAAACAAAAGGATAAACCACGGGAAGAATATTTGTAAATCATGTATCTGATAAAGGATCTGCATCCAGATGGAGCAAAAAATTCTTACAGTTCAATAATTAGAAGGCAATTTTAAAATATGCAAATAACTTTAGTAGACGTATCACCTAAGGAAACATATGAGTGGCTCAATATTATTACTCATCAGGAAAATGCAAATTAAAATCACAATAAGATACTACTACTACCCATTTATGACAACAACTACAGTCAAGAGACTGACAACATCAAGCATTGGCAAGATTCTAAAATGGTACACTTAGGGAAATGGTTGGAAAAGTTCTTAAAGAGTTGAAGATACACTTTATAAATAATATAGCAATTGTATTTCTAAATATCTACTGAAAAGGAACAAAGGCAGGCATTTAAAGCAGATCACTGCTTGCCTGAGTCTGAGGTTAGAGTAAGAAATAACTGCAAATGGATATAAGGGAACTTTTGAGTTGATGGAAATGTCTTAAAACTGGATAGATGCACGACTCTCTCCATTTGCAAAAAATTCAACAGTGTATCTGGTTGAATTTTTTGCATGTGAACTGTTTCTCAAGAAAACTTCACAATGAAATAAAATTTTTTAAAATGTACTAGGATAGAAACAGAAAAAGTCATATATGCTTCTTAAATGCTGAAGAAAGAAGTGATGGGGGAAGGGGTGCGGAAAGATAAATATATCAGAAGTTGGTAGGCTGAGCTGTTATCAGGGTACAAAACATCAACAGGAAGTTTGGTTGAGTTTGACAGGCAATTAGAAGTGTCAGTTTTAAGGATGTAGATTTGGAAATCATGCACAGGGTTGAAGTCATGCGACTGAATGAGATCATAAGAAAGTTAACAGCAAGTGGGACAGGACAGGACTTTGTATAGAACACCCATCCTCAAGGAGCCTAAGGAGGAAGAGTTAGAAGGAATTTAAAAGAAAAAAATAGGGGATTTTTCTGGTGGTCCAGTGGTTAAGACTCTGTGCTTCCAAAGCAGAGGGCACGGGTTCCATCCCTGATCAAGGAGCTAAGGTACCACATGCTGCCTGGCACCGTTTAAAAAAAAAAAAGAGAGAAATCTTTGCTATGTCTTCATGAGACTCACCTGCCAGAAAGATCCAGTGGTGGTGAACTCTCAAAGAAACACAGGCAACAAATCCATCAAGACTGCAGTATTTTAATAAAATAAAGATAGAAAACATGATAGATTTTGCCCTTTTTACTCACTCCTTAAAGTAGACTTATAAACAGGTAGGATGTCTGATTTTAGTCTAGTTTGGTTGTTATATATTGTCTTATATTAATTGGGATTCCCAGGTGGTTCAGTGGTAAAGAATCCACCTGCCAATGCAGGAGATGCAGATTTGATCCCTGGGTCAGGAAGATCCCCTGGGGAAGGAAATGGCAACCCACTCCAGGATTCTTGCCTGGAGAATCCCATGGACAGAGGAGCCTAGAGTGCTACAGTTCACAGGTCACAGAGTCAGACATGATTGAGTGCCTGAGCATGCAGGCAAGATATTAATATAACTTTAAAAAATGAAGACTACATTTTAAAAAGCCATAGAGAGCAAATTGTGTTCCTCACCTTCCCACCTTTCCATAGACAACTTTTAAGAGTTCCCTGGTTTTCTTAGGGAAGGAAGTTTCAAAGTAACAGAGGAACTTAGTAAAATGGTGGGAAAGTTTGTAAAAATAAAAAGCGGGGGCTGAACCAAGTAGAGGGGTCAGGGGAAGGAGAGACAACAGTAGAAGCCGGGAGTCCATCCTCATCTGGGGTTAAGCTTTCTGCAGTTTCAGTTACCTGCAGTCAACACTACATAGAAAGTTCCAGAAAAAACAATCCAGAGGTTTTAAAGTATGGCGCTGTTCTGAGTAACGTAATGAAGTCTCCTACAGTCCTGTGGTGTCCCAGCTGAAGGTGAATTTTCGTTCCACGAACAGAGGGTGTAAACACTACCTGCCTGTTACTATAGGAAAAAACATAGCATGTGTAGGGCTCTGCCCTATCTGTGGTTTCCAGCATCCACTAGGGGTGTTAAAACTGTCTCCTGTGGATAAGGGGGAACTACGGTGTTTGGAGAATAGAAAACGGTAGAGATGGGGAATTTTACGTGGGGCTACATTGACATTCGCTGGGTGTTGCCCCTGCCCCAAGAGGATTCTCCGGCACCTCATCCCGACCCCACTTCCCATGCAGAGCCTGACCTTGTTCGCTGGGACAGCAACATGGTCCTCTTCTTGCATCTTCACCCCTCCAGAGCAAGCGCCCAGTGTTTAGCCTGTGGCCTCCCTCCTGGGAGGAGGGGAGAGGGGCGGGCGGCAGGGAAGGGGAGAGACACCTGGCTGATAGCTGCTCCGCTCTTAAAGAGGTGCAGGTTTTCAACATAGTCCTCAGAAACCCAGTGATAAATGTAACGTGTACCTCTTTAACCACAGCTTTTGGCTATAAAGGACATTATTGGAACAACTGAAAAAACCTGAATTTGGATGGTGGTAACACATGTGAAGAGTTGACTCATTGGAAAAGACCCTGATGCTGGGAGGGATTGGGGGCAGGAGAAGAGGACGACAGAGGATGAGATGGCTGGATGGCATCACTGACTCGATGGATATGAGTTTGAGTAAACTCCGGGAGTTGGTGATGGACAGGGAGGCCTGGCATGCTGCGGTTCATGGGGTCGCAAAGAGTTGGACACGACTGAGCGACTGAACTGAACTGAACTGAACATGTCAGTGTTAATTTACCAGTTTTAATGTGTGTATCGTGGTTATGTGGGAGGAGGCCCTTCTCGGCAGTCACTAAAATATTTGGAATGGTGGAGAATCTTGTGGGTGACTTATTCTCAAATTATTGAGAGGAAAAAATGAAAAAAAAAATGTGTACTATACTTGCAATTTGTTGCTGTTGTTGTTAGCTTTGCTAGGTCTTTGTGGTGGCATGAAGGCTTTCTCCAGTTGCGATGCATGGGCTTCGTTGCTCCATGGCATGTGGGATCACAGCTCCCCCATCAGGGATTGAACCCATATCCCCTGCATTGGAAGGCAGATGCTTAANTGGGATCACAGCTCCCCCATCAGGGATTGAACCCATATCCCCTGCATTGGAAGGCAGATGCTTAACCACTGGTCCACCAGGGAAGTCCTGCAGCATTTTTTTTTTCCTGCAGCTTTTTTATAAATTTGAAATTGCTTCACAAAATTTTTAAAGCTGTGTACTAGTAGGTGGGTTGGTTTGACATTACGTTTTTGGTTTATGGGTTAGTAGGACCAAACATAATGAATGGACAATACAGGGAAGGAGGCAGGATCACGTGTTTCCCTTCCTGGTTTTTGTAGAACTCTGGGTTGAAAGACTGGAAGTAACCCTGTTTGCCTTGCAAAATGTAAACAAAGACATTACCCTTAAACTGTGTAATAATGTGTTTTCCTCATCCCAGCTAACAGCAGGGACTCCAGCAATCAGACCAAATACGTTTAGTCACTGGTGCTGGGAAGGTTCACTCCCACTAAGAAAGGCAATTTAAGTAATTAGCCAGTCTTTATGGCAGGATCATCTCCTGGGCTCAGCGGGGGCCAGGGAGCACATGGCTATTAGGCAGGGAAAACTATCCTTCATTTTTACACTCTCTTCTTCTAACCCAAACTTTCAAAGCATGCTCAGAAAGGACACTTTCCCTCAGTGAGTCTAAACGTCCCAGATGGAAGGAGGTTTGATGGCTAAGCCAAACCAGGACATGCTGACAATCTTTTGTTTCCTCTTTGGGTTTGATTGTTTGTTTCCCAATGAAAATAGCTTTGTTGTTTTTACAGATAATACAAGCAATCCATGCTTGTTATTGAAACATTTACACAATAACAAATAAGGGGAGCTGTGGAGAGTTAGAATTATCTATAATCTTCCCAACCAAAGTGAGCTGTGGTTTATAATTTAGTGCATTATCCTTCAAGTTTATATAATTATAAGTTTAAAATGTGGGTGTGCTCAGTCAAGTCCAACTCTTTGCAACTCCATGGACTGTAGCTCAATATTCTCCTCTGTCCTTGGGATTTCCTCAGCAAGAGTACTGGAGTGGGCTGCTATTTCCTCCTCCAGGGGCTCTTCCCAACCCAGGGATTGAACCCATGTCTCCTATACCTCCTGTATTAGCAAGTGGACTCTTTACCACTGTGCCACCTGAGAAGTCCAAATTAAAAATATGATTTACTAAATCAGCTGCATTATAACCGTTATAATCCTTGCTTTTGTCTTACTCTATCATGGGCATCTTTACAGGTTAATAAGTATATATTCTCGATGTCACACCACAAAGAATCCTTTGCCCAGACAACCCAATAAAAAAAAGCGGGCAGAAGACTTCAGCAATCTTTCGGGGGCAATGCCCAGTAAACATTAAAGGAATGCTCAGCTTCATTAGTTATCAGGAAAATTCAAATTAAAACCATGACCACCCATCAGAATAACCAAAATGAAAGAAATGGATAGAAGTACATGGTGGCAAAGATGTGAAGCAATTAGATACTCACATACACTGCTTGTTAGTTACAAATTGGTACAACCACTTTGGACAACTGGCAATATCTATGAAAACCAATCATACATTATCCTAGAGTTAAGCAGTTCTATTCCTAGATAAAGGGCCAACAGAAGTGTATGTAATTCTTCACTGAAACATAGGTACAAGAATGTGCATAGCTTCATTATTCAAAAGAACCCCAAACTGGAAACAACCAAATGTCCAGGTATTGTAGAGTGGATGTGAGACGGGCTGGGACCTGGGACCAACTGCTGCAGTGCTGGCACCTTCACAAACATCTCCTTGAGTACCAGAATACAAAGAGACTATAAAGGGAAAAAACAACTGCATGCATGCCCAGCTGGGGCAAATTATGAACAAGCTATAAAAAAGACCAAAAATCCAATGGCTACTTCTAAGGAGTCAGGAGTAAAGGAAGGGCACTGCACACGCCCCCTGCATACACCACCACCAAAGGGGTGAGTGAACCGCCTAAGCCACCCCTCTAGCCCAACCCCTGAGCACATCCCTACCCACATCCCATGTAAGGGACCAGCTGACCTCTTTCCCCAACTCAGAGAGTGAACAAGGGTAACTGTTACTTGTATTTCCTCCCCTCTGGTTCAGCACCAGTTCCAGTAAAGCCTTGTCTAAATTTCTTGTCTGGCTTCTTATCAATTCCTACTGATTAAAGAGTCCAAGAACCCTGGTTGGCAACAAACTGTGGTATATTCATAATGGAATACTATACAATAGCAAGAATGAATGGATCTCAACTACACAGATGACTCTCACAAACAAAACATAGAGAAAACAAAGGCAGATGCTGACGATTGATCACACGCTGTGCAACCCATTTATAAAAGCATCAAGAGCAAGTTTACTAACCATGGTGAGGTTGATAGAGGTTCTCCTCCTCAGTGAATGGGGACTACAGGGCTCACCTGGGGACTTCTGGGCAATGGTAAACTTGTCTTTCATGATATGGTACTGGATTGTTGTTTAGTTGCTAAGTCATGTCCAACTCTTTTTTTGTGACCCCATGGACCGTGGTTTGGGCTCCCCTGGTGGCTCCGTGGCAAAGATTCTGCCTGCTATGCAGGAGCCACAGGAGACGCAGGTTTGATCCCTGGGCCGGGAAGATCCCCTGGAGGAGGGCTGGCAACCCGTTCCAGTATTCTTCCCTGGAGAATCTATAGTCAGAGGAGCCTGGCAGGGTACAGTCTGTAGGGTTGAAAAGGGTCAGACACAACTGAAGCGACTTAACATGCACACACAGACTGTAGTTCACCAGGTTCCTCTGTCTGTGGAATTTCCCAGGCAAGGATACTGGAGTGGATAGAGGAGTGCATTCACTCAAGTTTATCAAGCTGTGCCCTTAGGATCTGTGTGTTTTTCTGTATGTAGTTTGTCAATAAATATACACAGTAATACTATCAATAAAATTAAATGAATTAACTCTCCAAAGTCTGGAATCTATTGAATTTTATTCACACATTTTTTTCTCTTACAATCAAGTTATAGAAATTTCTTAATTTTTAAGGCAAAAAGTTCATCCACACTGCATACAATATTAGTGACATTTTTAACTCTCTTTAGCTATTATGACCCATATCTGCCAGTCCCCTCTCAGTAGGCACTGCTGTTAGGTTATAATGAACATCCCAATACTTGGCCCCAAGAGCCACCTCCAAAGGGCTAAACAGCGGTTCTTACCAGGGGGTACTTTGCAATCACCTCAACTCACGTGTATCTGGGCAAGTGCAAACTAGGATGTTATTAATTGTACATTGCAGAGATGCTACGGATTGTCACCTAAATTCTGCCTCAGGGCTGGGGCACTCGTTTCACAGTTCCTGGAGTGTTGCTTCTTGAGGACTCAGAGATCCCTTTCCAGAAATTGTTCTCAACAAAATGAAGCTGTCTGCTTGGCTTATGATTCTTCCTGGGACAGCTTACATTCAGAGACTGGTCCAAACAGGAAAAAAAAAAAAAAAGGTTGCCCATGCCTTGCAACGGGGGCAGGCCCACCTCAGCTCCATGATTTGGCTGAAGTCTTTGTTGACACTGCATCACAGTTCAAATTTTCCCTCTGTCTAATCTTTCTTCCCTTACTTCCTCCCAGTCTGAGAATATTCCCCATTAATTTCCTATACACAAATCTCCATCTCAAAGTTTGTTTCCCGGAGGACCTTATCTGAGATGTTCACTTACGAGAAAGAATTCAAAATATATGTCACAATTGTTGTAAACCAGTGTTGTCCAGGATGGGGTTTATGGAAAAGGTAAAACCTTAAGGCCACACAGAATTATGATCTGGGAGAAGCCAATTTGAAGCTTGCTGGATAATGGGCCACCAGGAAGCCTCTGGTCAGAAGCACAGATGGCAGAGTTGGGGAACCACTGCTCAGGTTGGCCTCACCAGAGCAGAACAAACTTGTTGAGAGACAGAGTCATGAGGTTTTATGGACCAATGAGGGCTGGCTGGGAAAGAAACCTTGGCTTGAAATTGGTTTTAATAGAACAGGAACCCTGTGCTTATTTTTCAACAAGTGATTGATAAAAGTAAAGCTGCTTTTGGATAAATCTAGAAGTAAGTGGATTCTTTACCAGCTGAGCTACCAGGGAAGCCCAGAAACAAGGCGCAAGACTTTAACTGCAGGTGAGACTGACAGCTTGAAGACCAGCATGGCAGATGGGGCCACAATCTCAGGAAAAGGACCACTTGCCTAGACGGTAAATAGCTCACAGTGTGTTCAAAAGATGAGAAATGTCTTTCCTATCTGAAGGGCCATCATGAGAAGAAGGAACTGGCCTTGCTCAGTGGGGCAACACCAAGGAAACAAATATCAGTGCAATGCAAGGAAATGCACTGAACCAGAGAGTTACCCAACAATGAACTGGACTTCCTTTGGCAGAGGTGAGCTCATATCTCTGGAGATGTTTAGAAAGAGGCTGGTGGTTTACTTATGAAAGATAAGAAGAAACCTGCACTGAGCAGGTTAAACAAGAGTCCTTCTATTTCCCTCTTAAGCCCCCTGCAAAAATGAAAATAAAAGCCTAACTCTACTAAGATAAAACTGGCTACATTTTAGTGACTTATCTCCATAGGGGCTTCCCCAACAGCTCAGTGGGTAAAGAATACACCAGCAATGCAAGAGACACCAGAGATATAGTTTCAGTCCGTGGGCTGGGAAGATCCCCTGGAGGAGGAAATGGCCACCCACTCCAGTATTCTTACCTGGGAAATACATGACAGGGAGCATTGGTGGGCTACAGTCCGTGGGGTCGCAGAGTCAGACATGACTGAGTGACTAAACCCACACACATGGAGACAGGAGGTGACAAAATGTTTTCAACTGCCTCCAAGTTTCAAACCCAGAGGTTGAAGTGCAGTTAGTAAAAGTGACACCAGTCTGAAAATATAATGAATGACCCTTTTTAAAATAATAAAGTAAAAGTCCAACTCTACTTCCAGTTGAAGTAGAAATGATGCCTGTGGTCAACCATAAGATGGGAACAACACAGTGGGCTTACATGCCTCGTTTCTGTCCAAAGTTCACTCCTGATTTTCAGATGGGACCTCCCAACTGCCAGCTGTCTCACAGCGGGTCCCTTCCCCTTCATAGTTCCTGCACATTGGAGAAGAAAAGAGAGTTTTAGTAAGAGTAAGCCAAGACTTCAAAGTCTCCCACTAGTCCTTTCACCTCACTGCCACCTAGGCGGGGATGGACAGTACCTAGGACTTCCAGCATGAAAAGGTCTGCATCTTTGCACTTAGCTAGACAGCTTTCCTCTCAGTTGCTGGTTACAGTTGAGCTCACTCATTCTAGGTCTTTGAAAGAAGTCATTCATTTGTTGAGAGCTTTTCTGATGACTCAGGTTTATTCTGGAGTTTGTCTCATTAAAGATGTCTCTCTATCCAGAGTTAGAAAAGAACTGAGGGGTATTTTATTATAAATCTAATATTTTATATGTATAGTATATTTTTATTATAGCTCTAAGATCAGTTTCTTCCATTTTGCTGGAGTTATTTTGCTTTCTCAAGTTTGACTTTATTTTAGAGACCTGCCCCCCTTTTCCCTAATAACTTCTCTGAGGACTGTGATTTTTCATCATTTCCCACTTACAAAGTTGATATTTTTGGTTGATACTCAAAGGAGAGTAAAAAAATGGAAGGAATTTGGCTCACCCCTTCTTTACACTATGCACCTCCAACTTTTGCATGTATGATATTTGTTCCCAGAATGCCAATCCAGTTTTCAGAATCTCTTAACAATCACACGAGACCACAGGCCGACTGTTCTACTATACTTTGAAAGAATTAAGAGGCACATGGGCACCACTGTGCTCTGGAGTTTCCTGCCTCAAGTTCATGTGTCTGAGACCAGCTTTGCTTCTGTTGCAGTACTAACCACAAGAGTCAGAAAGGGGAAATGTATTTTCAGTGGAGAATTCCACACTGAAGAGGAGAGTACTCTTTCAGCAAAAACAGAATATGACCACAACTGTTTTTCAAAGAGTTGAGAAAAAATTGCCAAGAGACAATTTTAGAAATGTTTAAAGACAAGAGCAAGCTCTCCAATGAAATTATGGCGCTGGGGGCAGAGGCGGAGTGGGGAGAGATAGTTGGGGAGTTTGGGATGAACATATACACACTGCTATGTTTAAAATGTATAACCAACAAGGACCTACTGTTTGGTATGTGGAGTTCTGCTCAGTGTTGTGTGGTGGCCTGGATGGAAGGGGAGTTTGGGGGAGAATGGATACATGTGTATAAATGGCTGTGTCCCTTCACTGTTCACCTGAAATTGTCACAACATTGTTTGCTTATCAGGTAATCAGGTGTACCCCAATACAAAATATTTTTTTTTCTTTAAGAGCAAGTCCTCAAAAATTGCCATTAGAATCAATCTGGGTAGAACCTCAGTTCAGTTCAGTTCAGTCTCTCAGTCACATCCAACTCTTTGCGATCGCATGGATTGCAGCACACCAGGCTTNCCCTCTCATCCATACATGACCACTGGAAAAACCATAGCTTTGACTAGATGGGCTTTTGTTGGCAAAGTAATGTCTCTGTTTTTTAGTATGCTGTCTAGGTTGGCCATAGTTTTTCTTCCAAGAGCAACAGTCTTAATTTCATGGCTGGAACTTCAGGGATGAGGTTTTTATCTCTGATTTCTCCAGGCTAAAGGACAGACATGAATGTGGTAGGGAGGGTTATGCTTTTCAAGGGCACCCACCACCCATTGCCTGGTGACACGAATGTAACTAGTTTAGCGTCAAGGTCCTTACTGGTAAAACAATGATGCTGTGTATTCATATAGGTTTGTGTTCTTTCAGTGACAGAGGTTCCAGACAGCTTTTCTCTTTGGAATCCTCGATGTGTAAAACTTTTGTGTGCTGTTGGCTGATTACTGTGTGAATGAGGTCAGAGTTTTCAGTTCAGCATCTTGGGGACCAGTACGCTGGTCGTTTAATGGCCACAGACCACAGCTCTTACCTTAATAAGCAACAGTTTGACTGTATTTAATGTTAGTAGTCACAATAAAACCAGGTTAGAAAATGTCTGTGTGTTTCAACTGCAGGAAACTTTATAAGCGATACTTATGACAATGTGGCTTTCTTACCCCATCCCCCTTTTCTTCAGAAGGTGCTTTCTATATACTTATATGTAAATAAATATATATTTGCTTATATTTATCCAGTTGTTTGGCAATACATTTCCATTTTTTAACAGTAAATCCAATGTAATAGGAATAAGTCTCCCTCACTTGCCTATGGACCCAATGTCCACCTTAACTGCACGAATCTGATATTTTTTATTTTTATAAAAACTTGCAAAGTTTCTTTCTATGTGTATTAGGAATATGCACATAGATACTTATTCCAATTTTTTACACACACAAGATATTCTGTTCTAAACCTTGCTTTTTCTCAATGAATACTATTTTTTCAGAGAACCTTCCAAATTGTCTATAAGAGCTTCCTTCATTCTTTCATGACCTCATAATATTCTATTTGTTCTACAATTTATATAACAGTCTCTGTTGCTAGACATTTGGGTTAGTCATGAGGCTTTGCATTTTTTAAAAAAGGTTCAATGAATAACCTTATACATATATCCTTCAGGTGTTTCTGTAGGATAAATTCCTAGAAGTAGAACTGGGAAGGATATGCATTTGTAATAGACATTGCCAAATTGCTTTTCATAGGAATTGCGTTATTTCTTTAACATATAACATGGAATTTGTAAAAAGTATATGCCCTTACGTCACACTATACCAAAAAAAAAAAATTAACTCAAAATGTTAGAGCCTGCGCTCTGCAGCGAGAGAAAGCACCACAATAAGAAGCCTCACACGCAACAGAGAGTCACCCCTGCTCACTACAACTAGAGAACGCCAGGGCACAGCTAAGCAGACCAGCACAGCCACAAAGAAATAAAGCTTTAAAAGAAAGTAACTCAAAATGCAATAAAGACCTGAACATAAGAACCAAACCACAGAACTCTTACACATGGGGTAAATCTTCATGATCTTAGATTTGGCAGTGAATTCCTAGATATGATACTAGAAACACAAGCCGCAAAAGAAAAAAAAGTAGATAAATTAAACTTCATCNGAAAAATGAAAGTGAAGTCGCTCAGTCGTGTCCGACTCTTAGCGACTCCACGGACTGCAACCTCTGGGCTCCTCCATCCATGGGATTTTCCAGGCAAGAGTACTGGAGTGGGGTGCCATAGCCTTCTCCGATCATTTGTCATTAGGGAAATGTAAATCAAAGCCACAATGATGCACAATAACTGAATACACTTTATGTCCCTGAAATGTACACTGAAAATGGTTGCAATGGTAAATTTTATCTTATATATGTTTTGCCACAATAAAAAAAAAAATTAAAACATAGACCCTAAAAACAACAAAAACGCCTCACAATAAGTTAGCAGTTCAACCTAGTAACATGGCTATAATGGGGAGGAGGGGAGGAAGGAAGAAAAACAAGTGCTGTTGAGGATGTAGAGAAATTGAAACATACATTACTGGTAAAAATGTAAAATAGTGCAGCCACAGTAGAAAACAGTCAGGCAGGTTTTCAAACATTAAACACAGAGTTCCCACTTGACTCAACAATTCTTCTTTTTAGGGATACCCAAGAGAAATGAAAACCTACATCCACACTAAAACTTATGCATGAATATTCATAGTAGTGTTATTCCTAGTAACCAAAAGATGGAAACAACCCAAATGTCCATCAATTGCTTAACAGATAAACGCAATGTAGCATTTCTATACAATGGAATGTCTTTTGGCCAAAGAAAGGAATGAAGTACAGATACACACCATGACAGAGATGAATCTTGAAAACATTGTTTTAAGTGAAAGAAGCCAGTCACACCACATATTATAATTCCATTTATATGAAATGCCCTGAATAGGCAAACATATAAAGATAGAAAGTAGATTTGTGATTGATTAGGATAGAGAGGTCAGGGGAATGGTAGGGGAACATCAAAGGGATGGATGAAAAATTCTAAAATTGACTATGGTGATGGTTGCACAACTCTGTGAATAAAAACCACTGAATTGTGGACTTCAAATGAGTAGATTGGGTGGCATATGAATTATATCTCAAGCTGCTATAAAATAACATAATCTAATTATGAAGGAATCTAGTTACCTGACATGGCAGGATATCAAAAGCCAGGCTTTCATGATTATCTACTGGAGGGCCTGCTGAATGTTGACAGTCATCACCGTGGGTCCAGCACATCCAAGACATTTCCTGAAAATGCTCCATTTGAAGCACTGGGAATCTGAGAGCAGCCACTGGAAAATGTTCAATCACCAAAAATGTGCCAACCAGCATTTTCATCTGATTTGTCACCATTTAACTCTTGGCTTTTCTCCATATTAAAATGAACTATAAAATGAAAGAAATGGGCCAGTCTTCAGGAAAACAATTCTACAGACTACCCAAAGGGGCTTTAAAACAGTAGTTTTAGGACTCCCCGGCAGTCCAGTGGTTAGTACTCCATGTTTTCACTACTGAGGGCCTGCCTGTATGATGCAGCCAGAAATTTAAAAAAAAAAAAAACCACACAGTAGTCTTAGACACACAACTTGTTTTGTTAACAAGTTATGTGATTAGTGAATCAAGTGAGCAGGTAGGGGCAGGGAATGCTTTGAAAATCATGCATCATTATTTATGGAAAAGCACTATTTACTTTACTGTCGACTAAATCTTTTTATCTCAAAAAAAGAGTTTCTACAAATCAATAAGTGGAAGAACAGTAATACACTGGGGACAAGACATGAAAATACAGTGCATTTTAAAAATGTAAAAATAAGATTAAAATGTGAAAAAATCTCTCCTCCCACAAGAGAAAAATGCATCTTAAAACTACCCCCACACTTCATATTTCCTCTGTCAGAGTGGCAAATATTAAAAAGCTTATTTATACAGTAGGTTTTCAGAGATATTAAGAAATAAAATCCTAAAAAAAAAAAGAAATTAAGAAAAAAAAGAAATAAGATCCTTGCACTATTAGTGAAAAAAATAAATTGGCACAGTCCCTGGAAGGCAGACACCATCTAACAAAAAGTATACAGAATCCTGTAACCCAGAGATTCCCCTTCTAAGAGTCATGCCTTTTCTCTCTCCTTTGTCTTTTCTCCTCTCTCTTCTAATCTCCACTCTATGCCTCAAGTGAAGTCAATAAATGGGTAATAATTCCCTTAAGCTCTACAGAATTAATTTCTTTTTGACTATGAGAATTGGCAGCTTAAAAAAAAACAACAAAAAAACCCTAGATGCCTTAATAATTAAAGAGAAACTTTAAAAGTTCCTTCTATGAAGGTTCATAGCTATAAAAGTAATCAATGAAGCTCCCAAAAGACTGCACTATAGGTCAGGCTAAAGGGAAGGGGAACTGAGTGGAGAACCGAAACATGTATATGTATAACTGAATCCCTTCGCGGTTCACGAGCTAGCACAACACTGTTAATCGGCTATCCCCTAATATAAAACAAAAAGTTTAAATTAAAAAAATTTTTTTTAATCCTATTCAGTAAGAACTGGTGTTGCGGGGTGGGGGAGTCTAGAAAGCTGAGCCCAACTATTGATATCAGCATATGTGCTACCATAGTGACCCCTGCTGGCCTAAGGCAAAAACAAATTTATGTTTAAGGTTTTAGTAGACATTTTTCTTCAACAGCTTCTTTAAAAATATGGCATTTCCTGTGACTTCCAGATTATAACCTCTGCCTTCCTCTAGCTCACAACTCTTTCTTGCATCACACGGGCTTCGCTTTTTCTCAGTGAAGAGCAAAATCCCTTGATATCGCACGTCCTAAGGAGATTTGTCCCTTTCATGGCTCTTTCCCATTTCCTCTTGGGTAGCTCTAGTTCTGGTTCTGGTCGCGTGTCTGTCTGCCTCTGGACTGGCCGCTTACTGCGTGTACGTGAGTGCACCAGGGCCTTGCACCCACAGACAACCGGATGCCCCTCGCTCACTGAGCCGGCTCGTCCGCACTTGCGCTCTCCCCACTCATTCCTCAGTCCCAGGTTTCTCACAAGGCGGTCCACGGTCCATCCACGTACTGTTTGCCAGACAGCTTGCTTAAAGTACAGACTCCTGGAGACTGTGAGAGTGAAGTAAGTCAGAAAGAGAAAAGCAAATATATTAACGCACATAGCTGCTTCCCCGGTGGCTCAGATGGTTATGTGGAATCTGACATTGGTATAGATGATCTTATCCATACAGCAGAATAGAGACACAGACGTGGAGAACAAACATATGAATAACAAGGGGGAAAAGGGGAGGTGGGATGAATCGGGCGAGTGGGACTGACATATATACACTAATAGGTACAAAAGAGACAACTAAAGAGAAACAGGGGCTTCCCAGGTGGCTCAGTGGTAAAGAATTCACCTGCCAGCGCAGGACATAGGAAATAAAGGTTCAATCACTGGGCCAGGAAGGTCCCCTGGAGTAGGAAGTGGCAACCAACTCCAGCATTCTTGCCTGGCAAACTCCATGGACAGAGGAGGCTGGTGGGCTGGAGTGCATGAGGTAGCGAAGAGTCGGACCCGACTGAACACGCACACAATGAGAATTTACTGTATGGCACAGGAAACCCTACTCAGCCCTTACTCAATGCTCCGTGATGATCTAAATGGGGAGGAAATCCAAGGAAGCAGGGATGCATGTGCACGTACAACTGATTCACTTTGCTGTGTAACAGAAACCAACACCACGTTGTGAAGCAACTACTGTTGTTCGGTCGCATCTGTAGTTTGCAACCTCATGGGCTGCAGCACACCAGCTTTCCCTGTCCTGGGAATGGCACTGTTTCCCAGAGTCTGCTCAAACTAATGTCCGCTGAGTCGGTGATGCCATCCAACCATCTCATCCTCCATCATCCCCATCTCCTCCTGCCCTCAATCTTTCCCAGCATCAGGGTCTTTCCTAGTGAGCTGGCTCTTCGCATCAGGTGGCCAAAGTATTGGAGTTTCAGCATCAGTCCTTCCAGTGAATATTCAGGGTTTCTGTCCTTTAGGATTGACTTGTTTGATCGCCTTGCTGTCCAGGAGACTCTCAAGAGTCTTCTCCAATCGAAAATTTTAAAAATAATAATAGAAAATAAAAGATTAACGAGAAATGCAGATTACTGGCCCTCTGAATCAGACCTTCTGGAATCCTGGAACCTACCTTTATAACAAACATGTACCCAGAGAATGAATTTTTATGTGTACACACACACATACACACACATACACACACGCTCACACATACATGTGGGAGCAATGCAAAAAATGCCCTGATTTTTAAAAAAATCAAACTATACACTCTTATCCAGAAACCTGCCAGGCCTCCTAAACATTTAAAGAACTAAGTCTAAAAAACCCATTCTTGACTTTTAAGCCTTTGGTAAATTGCTCAAAGTATCTTTTGTCCCTTCCTGTAAGTGGATTATGTGTCCCTACCCCAGTGATGGCAGACTTGGCCACATGCTGAGCTTTGGCAAATGAACATGTGAAGAAACACATGGCTCTTTCAGGCGGGCACCGGGAGCGCTGCTGCAGAGCTCTCCTATATTCTCTTTCCCTCAGCTGGAACCAATATACTCCATAGAAGGGCTGCTTTCTCAGTTTGGATCCAGCAAAAAGATGCAAGGAGCAGAGCTACGGGCAACCCACAATGGAAGAGTGATGTAAATGAAAAATAAGCTTGCTTCATTGCTGTGATTTGGAGCCCTTTGTTAACCACAGTCTAACTTTGCTAAGTGAAATGAAGTGAAGTGAAGTCGCTCAGTCGTGTCTGACTCTTTGCGACCCCGTGACTGTAGCCCACCAGGCTCCTCCGTCCATGGGATCCTCCAGGCAAGAATACTGGAGTGGGGTGCCATTTCCTTCAGCCGACTGATAAAGAATCCACCTCCCAATGCAGGAGACGCAAGAAACACAGGTTCAATCCCTGAGTTGGGAAGATCCCCTGGAGTAGGAAATGGCAACCCACTCCAGTATTCTTGCCTGGAGAATCCCACGGACAGAGCCGGGTGGGCTACAGTCCATGAGGTCACAGAGAGTTGGACACGACTGAGCACACGCACACACAAGCTGGCTGATACAAATACTTCACAGTTTGCTTTCCTAGCTCTATTTCCCATTACTCTTCGAAATGTATTCCATACAATGCTTGCTAAACTTGGTGACTGGCTTTTCCTCATTCACAAATTATTCCAATTCTATGCACCGTTTGTTATCTTCTATAACAATTCTATAACCGTTTGTTATCTTCTCCCTACCAACTATATCTCTCAAAGTCTGACTTCAAACTTTAATGTCCATCTCAAGAGCCACTTTCTCTGTGAAGCTTTTCCTTTTCGCTTGATGGGCTTCCTTTCAATCCTACATAAACTACTACTGTAACCTGTTTTGTTGCCGTTGGAACTTTTCTCATCTCCCTTCAAAACATCATAAATTCCTTGAGATTAAAGATGATCTTATTCATAATGTGTTCACTGAAGCTTTGCCAACAGTAGGAATCCACACAGGTATTTGTTGAATTAAATGAGCACTTTCAACTACGGAACTGATGTTTAATATATTTATGATGTTTTTAAAGGTAAACTTTACAAAACACTTAACATACTCATTGAGGAAGCAAGATTAAGATGCAAGTAGAATTATTTCTAATAGCAAACATTCCTGAATGTTTCATTCATTCCTGAATGAAATATAGGTTAAAGTTTAATGAATCGGTGTGCACATTTGTATATGTGTGTCTTGTAATCATCTGCAAAACGACCAGGTCTTGACCTTCATCCCCTTCCTCTCCCTTGCTAAACCCAACAGGTTTTAACGCAAAATTTCACCAAAGAAAAAGACTGTATCATAAAATTAGTGTTCCTATGATTGCATGCCACATGCTAAGAGCAAATTTTACATTTATATCCCAAATTAGCTACTGTGTTTTTTTACATTCAGTAAGATGTATTTTCCTGCTTATGATTAAAATTCAACAAATACAACTCCAATTTCAAAATGAATACCCAATAACAAAGTGCTACCCCTATAAATCCTTGTAGCAAATAGAGTCCTATCCTTGGTGATGAGCGTCTATCTCCTTTCCACTTCTCTCCAGCTTCTATTAACCTAGTGCTCTCTGAAACATTTTGGCAGTAATTGCAATGGTTCCTTGGATTTTTATGAATCTAATTTTAAAAGGATAGGAGACATTATTTTTGAACTGCTTATCAATTTCATGCTGTGTAAGGTTTTACTATAAGCTGAGGGTAAAAATACTTTGTGCTTATTAGGGACACAAAGTTGTTTGCCAGAGCACCTCAAATTGGCCATCTGTGCTAGGAAAACATGCTGTGCATTCAGTCCCTTCATTAACGCAAGAGGAAAACATTTCTTCTACAGAAAACTCAAACAACACAAAAATACATAAAGATTCCTGACCTCCTGTCAGTCACTTGATATCTTCAATATCAGCAATTTCTAAACCATATTCTGTGGAAAGGAAGTATCTCTTCATAAAGGGGTAGATGTTTAGCCAAAAAGAGCAAGGGTTTATGGGGTGGGTGTGGGGGGAATCAGTGATCAAATAAGTTTGAAGAAAACTGCAAATTGGACCTCAACTCCTTCAGGAAGCCTTTATTTACATAGGACGTTAAATCTTTCATATGATCCTGCAGTGAGGCAGGGACATGTAAGCATGTTTCCCAATTTATTCAACCATGGAATTAGCCGTTGGTTTTATGCTTTGTTTTGTTTCAGAAGACTCACTGAATTAATCTCATGGGACACTGGTATTCAGCAGGACTTGAGCTAAGAAATAGTTTCATGTGGGTATGTTTAAGTAATCCATCTAAAGTAAGTGTCAAGAAAGAAAAAGATCTGAGTTGGAAATTCAGGTTTATACAAGCACATTCAAGATTGAGTGGTTTCTCAACACTATCCAGAAAAATAGGGTTAATAGTTCTGAGTTAAATGTACCCAAAAGAAAAGGTCTCATAGTTGTGTCCTTAATTTGATTGTTGAAATATTTCAATTAACTTTAAACTTCTGGGGTTTTTCTCAGATTGGGTTTAGTGCAGCTCAGACTAATGCTAATGGTCAAGACCAGTCTTTTTTTCTCTGTGTCATATTTATAGAAGTTTAATAACTGATGTTTTTTAAAGTACCTGATCACATTCTCCACACTGTTCATGAAATACATTACTTGTAAGACTCTAAGCCTACATAGGCTCATGGAGTTTGTCATTCTGTATTAGGCTTAACTATCTGCATTCTTTGGGGGTGTAAACCAGAAATGTCTCTTGGTCTAGGAAATGATTACTGCTCCCTTATTAAAGCAAGTTTTAAATGCACTCACCGAAGTCATATATATATTTTAAGAACCCACCACCTGGATTATGGTCCAGGTCATTCTGTAATACTTTAAGACATTTAGAGATGATGTAATAGTCTATC